CTGCAGGCCGCATTCTCGAAATCCCTACAGCCGGCCAAGGACTATTATCGGATACGCTCGACGGACGACTTGCCACCTAGCGAAGGCCCTTGAGTTTTCAGCTGGCAGGGAGCGAAGAGTGGAAGAGCCATCAGAGCAAGCAGAGAAAACAAAAAAAATCATACACCCTAAGCCCTATACCCCTAAAGCCTAAACCCTAATCATGAATACCAAGAGCGATGGAGCATTGTGTTATGAGCAACGGCTCGACAGCGACCGTGAAGGTTGGACCACCGAGGACTGTCCGCGAGGGGAAGACACGCATCCTGGCACCTTTAAGATTTGCAAAGACTAGGTTCTCAACGGCAATCCCGGATTTTTTTGCATTCTCGCATTGCCATGTCATGTTGCGGATGTTTTCTTTTCTAGATTGTTGACATCGTCACCACGAAGCTCATGCCCAGTACAGGAGTAGCCCTTTGCGTTGGCCGGGCTGGAAGCAAGGTGCCCTGAACATCTTGCTACTACTGTTACTAGCAAGCAGTTGCAGGTGGGGGTGTGGATCTGATGACGGTGACTGAACCCATATCCCGTGAGAACCGAACCCTAAGCTTTACAAGTAGTAGAAGCCCCAATCAAGCCACAAACTCCAAGCTGCTGCAGTCGTAGAGCTCGACTTCAGGGACCTTGCTGCGGCTTGATACACAAATACAGGGCATGAATGCCCATGAATACGATTCCGTCTGGTTCCCTCATGCACTTACGCCAGAAAAAGCCCCTGAACTCCAGACCCAAAACCAGGCCTTAGCACCCCAGATCCAAAACCCTCAGCCCTCAACTCTAAACCCTCAACCCTAAACCTTAAAGCCTAAACCCCTATTTTTTGAGCTCCTTTTCTCAGACCTTTTCGGGGCACTGGAAAAAAGGAGGTCAAAAAAAAACCTTATAGCATCCAAGACAGTACAGGGTTGAGCCCCAGGTCCCTGCCTCTCCTGCGAGCTCTTCTGGAGCCCGAGGTGATCCTCGAGGACTTCACGGATTCAGGGAGTATACGGTTGATGATATGGGCAGTTGTCAAAACTCTGGTCCCTTTTTGGGTGCCCTAAATTTTAGGTGCCGTACTGTAATAGGGCCCCAAAAAGGGACCATAATTTTGACAACCACCCATATTAAAATAAATCTTGCATTCCCAATAATAAGGGGCTATGCTACAATGCCCCTAATCTAAACGATTCAGGAATTAGGGTAGGGATTCAATTGTTTGGGGCTTTGGGGTCTGGGAGGTTTAAAGGAACTTCATGGCAGAGTAGATAGTATAGTATCGTATAGTATAGTTAGTATATGTTAGTATACTATAGTACAGTATGGTATTTTTCGTTTTGGCGTTTAGGGGGCTAAGGGTTTTAAGGCTCTTGGTGCTTTTAGGGTTCAGGGACAGAGGGTTGGGTATTTGGCGTTGACTTCTTTGGACCTCGAGTTTCACTGCTTGGGGTTGCCAAGCAGTTTTCGGTGTTTGTGTAACCGTTCCTGAATAGTTGTTCAAGTCTGCACATACGATAGCTCAGGCTCGAAAATTTGGATCTACAAGAGATTTAGGGTTTAAGGGCCTTGGGTTTGGGCGTTTAGGGGAAAATTTCGGATTCATGGCTTCGTGCAAAGTTGCGGAATGCGAGATTCCAGATGCGGTTTCCAGGAATTCAGGATCTTGTGTTCTTGTGTTTGGGTGTGATGGCACTCAGCCAAGACGTTGGAGGGGTGGTTGAAACTGGCCGGACTTGAGCCCACTGGGAAGAAGGATTCAGGCTTTGGAGGGCTTACTGTAGGGCTTTAAGTTTTAGCTCATGGTTTAGGATTTAAGTTTCGAGCCCCTCTTCAGCGCAGGGTTTCTTGCGCGTGATTATGGGAGTTTGTGAGACAAGAAGGGACTTCAACATAGCCCTCATGACCAGAAGTACCTTCCATATACTGGCAGACTCATAAGAACGCCCACTGATGATAGCAGAAGGAATTTCATCGCCGCTTCTGGTCCTTTTCTAGCCAGTGTCACTGGAAGGATGCTCTCATGTCATACCAGAATATGTGCCAGCGTTCGAGCGTCGTAACAAAGTGTAGCCCAAAACCTTGCTAAACCCGGGCCTGCTACTGTGAGGCACTTCTACGTACTTCGCAATACTCAAACCCGAACCCCAAAAGGCCGCAAACGACTCCCCTCCGCTCAAGAAGGCGGGGTCGCAGAAATGGCTTAGGGGCTTTTGGGTCCGCAGCCGTGGCCCCGTGGCGCCTGACACCCGACAGATTGCTGAGTCCTGAGCGATCAGAATCCTAAGTCCGAAGCCCTGAACCAGGGCCGGGTGGGGTACCAGCCACACGGATGGAGACTGTGGCCGGGAAGGACGAGGGCGAGGACACCGTAGAAAGGTCCCCGACGACGATGGGCAAGGCAGGCGCAGATGAGCTGGAGTGGGCTGAGATCCACGGGGCTAGGGAGTTTAGGGAGATGGGTACATGCGTAGACTGGGATGCGCAGATGCTTACTTAGGCTCTCTATCGAGCTACATTGCTGCATTGCAAGATGGCCTTGAGAAAAATCGAACCCAGAGGACGAGCAACCTAAGGGAGCCTTTGGCAGCAGCACCAAGGGGCTTTCGACCTCGGCGGGGAGAGGGAGCGAGAAAAGAGCTTCAAGAACACACTATCACTAAAAATTATACGTAAGCCCTACAGCCCAAGCTGAAAATGATCGTCCCAGATCCTGGACCCTTTACCCTAAACTGCACCTTCAGAAACTCTACAAGTTCTACAGCAACCGTGAAGCCCTTCTCAAAGCCTATAAAGACATCCCAGCCCTTTGAGCTATTTGCACCAGCCCTAGACCCTAAAGGGAAAAACACCCTAAGGCTCGACCCTGAACCCTAATCCTAGGATGGAGAAAAACCTTCATCCTAAGCCCTAAACCCTAAACCCTGCAACGCAGGCTTGTCCTTGCTAGGTAGCAGGGAAAAAAACCAAAATCCTAAGCCCTAAGCCCCGATCCCAAACCTAAACCAGCGCTGTCAGGATGAGGGCTGCTCTGCTTCGGATGCCACAAGTGACGCGTCGTAGCACTAGTGGCAGCTGTAGCAGAGGTCGTAGTAGTAGCAGTAGTAGTAGCAGCAGCAGTAGTACTATTCGTAGTGGTGGTGGTAGCAGTAGCAGCAGCACTACCAGTAGGGTGGCAGTCGGGAGGTTCTTGCTGTTTATACTTTTTTGGTGTCCAGGGCCCAGGGTTTTACTGTAGCTTCTTTTGGGGCTGTGGAGTCAAGCCCCAAACCCGAACACCCGAAACCCCCGACTATGCAGCAGTAAGCTCGCCTGGCTTGTCCGAGTGTGAGCGCCGAAGCCCTGAAACATTAAACCCCCAAGTACGGCTTAGGTGTCGGGTCCGTGGTGTTAGACATTTCAGGGTTACAGGGTGCTAGAATTTGGGCTGTGGGCTTCCGGTGTCAGCATTCAGGCCTTGAGCGTTGATCAGGGAGAAGTTTAGGGACTTGGACTACAGTCGTGACTTAAGGCTGTAGGATGATAGGGTTATAGGAACTTATAGTATCGCACTGTAGGGTACAAAGTCACATGGCTGCACGACTTTAGGTTCAGTTATACAGGGTGTATTTGAGGGAGATAAGGCTAAAGGTTATAGAGTGATGGACTCCAGAGTTTCGGATTCAGGGGCTTTGAGTTGCAGGGTTGTAGCGCCAGCCGCCAGAAAGTTCAAGGGTGGGAAAGTCTCGAGGCTAGTTTCTGGGTCTTCCGATTCTGCTGCGCCTGTGATGATGCTCCTTGTACAGTTGGAGCTTCACTTAAAGCTTGGCATGAAGAGGGGAGGCATAGCTTGGATTTGAGCTCGAGGCAGTAAGCCGCAAGCGCTTATAATACACCCCAAACTCTAAACCCTGCGCACATTCGTCATTCTTGGGAGTCTTCAGAACTGCCAAGCGCCGAAGTCAGAAGTCAGAGTTTCAAGCAGAGAGATGTCCCTCCATCCTCCATGCCGCGGGCAGGAGGCAGGTCTCGAAATCCCGAAGGTGAAGCCTGCCCCATGCATGCGATCAATTACGCTAAACATGGTGACAGAGCCGGCTTGTCGCCGCATCAGCAGCGCAGACAGCAGCAGCGGCGGAATCATCGACGACAGGACGTTGTGACGAGGAAGAGAAAGCAAAAACAGCAAACTTAGATACACCACCACTAAACTAAACGCTGATGGAGCTTGCAGTTTCGTGACCTGCTTCGCTGCACGAGCCTTTCTGCCGGCAAAACGTGCCTTAGGATATCTTTCACGTTAGGGTCTTGCATTAAAGGACCAAGGACAGTGCCTGGCGCCAGGGCTTTGGGTTTCATGGACCTACGAAGTGAGCATAAGGTAAGTTAAAACTGAGATAAGAAAGACAAGTATGATAGAAGATAGTACAGTATAATATATATGAGCCTATAATATAGCAGCTGTTTAATATCGTATAATATAAGAGTTTATATATATATATATATATATATATATATATATAATGAGAGCTATTTGAGGTTTTTCCTCCGGCCTTGCGGCTCTGAGACCCCCAAATTACTGGTTTCAAGGGCTGAGTAGTCGAATGGGTTTAGGGGTTTAGGGTAAACGGGTATAAAAAGGGTTAGGGTTTAGGGTTCGGGGGCATAAAAAGGGTTTAGGGTTGAGGGGTATAACAAGGGTTTGGGGTTCAGGGGTTTAAGGCTAGACTTGAGTCCAGTGGCAAAAAGGGGTTTAAGGTGTCGGGTTTAAAGTAGTTGAAGGCGGCAAGCGTAAACCCGGAAAGCCCCAAAGCCCAAACCTTAAACCTGATAGTCTGAACGCCCAGGCCAGAGCCTACACTCTCAACCCCCGGAACCCAAACTAGGCCTTGGACTGTCTGAAACCCCCAGGCCCTAAACCCTAAATCCCTCACGCACGGCGGTTTTTTTGGGGGGGAGAGCCCTAAACCCTAAACTTTAAACCCTAAACCCTGGCGTGCCAGGCATGGACAGCGGCTTCACCACTTTCGAGGCTGGGCTGCTGGCCTTGAGACTCTCCGAAGCTTTGGGAATTAGGGTCCAGGGTTGAGGGCTTCTTTTGAGGTTTGCACGGGTTGTTGGGTTTTGGAAGAGTTTTCGTGTTTCCTTTAGGGCTCTTTAAGGGTTTTGGTGGGGGTTGTTGTCGGATCTTGGTGCGGGTGGTGACAGGGTTTGATGATGGCTTGATAAGGGCTTTTGGGCGAAGGGTGAAACCCGAAGTACGCAGCCTCGGGGTAAAACGGACGGAAGACCAGGCTTCGGGGAAAGGTCAGGGTTCCGGGTCCAGGGATGGCAGGGTCGAGGATAAGCAAGCGAGGAGCTACGGTGAGGTGGGGAATCGCGAGTCTAGGGCAAGCTTTAGGGACGAGGGCTTTGGGTTTTGTGCCCGGTATGTCAACAGGTGAGAGTCAAAACCTGCAGGAAGGGTAGGGTTCACCATAAAGGCTTTAACATGTTCGTGTAGAGTGTAGAGTTCCTTCATTGGCCCCCGTACGCAGCACGGTGTGCAGCAGGAGCAACCCTGAAGTAGCAACATCTAGGATCTTTTTGAAGGTTGCTGTTGCAGCTTGAATCAGCTGTATGCTTTTGTGTTTACTGATCGGGTTGGTCGTGGCCCTAAGTTTTCTTGCGATTCCCGCTGGAAGCGGTAGCATGCAGACCCCCCGGGTGGTTGGCAGCATAGGCTGAGGTTCCCATGATCCCTACCCGAAGCGATGCCCCCTGCGCGCAGACCAAGTGCATCCGCTTGATGCAGCCTGTGGATTCGAATCACTCGGCCTCGACCATAGGCAGGGGCGGGTGCAGTTTTTGTGCTAGCAGGGCTGCTGTTTCAATGCTGCGAGGTCGCTTGCATTTCTCCCCGAAGCAGGCCAGGCCCTCCCGAAACAATAACAGAGCTTACTTCTATGTCCGAACTCCCTCAGAGAAGCAGGCAAGGTTATCTGGATTGTTGTTAACGTCTTTATTTCAGCTACCGCAACAAGGAAGCCCCATAATATTTACTATAGATCCCTATTATGGTAACTTAAATAAAGTAAGCTCTCTAACAAGAGCCCAATATCCTAGTAACTTAATAAAAGTTAGCTCTTTGACAAGAGCCCAATATCCTATTGTTTACTATAGATCCCGATTATGGTAACTTAAGTAAAGTAAGCTTTTTAACAAGAGCCCAATTTCCCATTATTTACTATAGACCCCTATTATGGTAACGTAAACAAAGTAAGCTCGTTTACAAGAGCCCAATATCCTATTATTTACTATAGATCCCGATTATGGTAACTTAAATACAGTAAGCTTTTTTAACAAGAGCCCAATATCCCATTATTTACTATAGATCCCTATTATGGTAACTTAAATAGAGTAAGCTTTTTAACAAGAGCCCAGTATGGTAGGCCGCGGGTTGATTGCAGCCCCGAGTTATCGTTTTTTGCCAAAGGACTGGACCGTTGGGATGGCAGCAGCTGGGTCTGGATCTCAGCTCTTACCGGGACAGCTTACGGTCCGTTACGGTTTGTTTTTCAAGATCTTCCTATGAGTTTTGGACTTCAGGTTGGGGATTCTAAAATCAGGGTTAGGTTTAGAGGGCTTCTGAGGCTAAGGATGTATAGGGTGTAGGAATCGATCTTGAATGGGATTTAGAGTTGGGGTCAAGCCGAAGCTGCCGAAAGACCACAGCCATGCCTTGGGTGCGGCCCCCACTCAGTAACAGTTGGATAATATTCATAATATAGATATATAAGGCCCTTAATAGTAGTCTTATTATAGACTGTTACTGTATGGGGGCCGTACCCAAGCTATGCCCCCAGGTACGTGTCAAGACCTTCGTGAACACGGGAGGCGCGGGGCAACTTTGCGGCCGACAGCGAAAGGGCTCTCTCTGGGTGTCTTAAACCCTAAACAACTATCTTAAGCCCTAAGCAACTATCTTAGACCCTAAGCGACTATCTTAAGCCCTACACAACTATCTTAAACCCTAAACAACTAGAACCCTGCACCGGGTTCTACGAGATTAGGGCTCAGCAGCTAAAACCCTGCACCCGAACCGAACCAGCAACAGGTTGGGATTCACGAGCTGAAGGTTGAAGGTGTGGAAGGTGGGTGGAATATTTCGGCTCTGGTGATGGTGAGGATGTAGGGTCTGGGAGCACTAAGGAGTTCAACAAAACCCCCAAATTCTCGGCCCTTCCTTCCGGTTGTGCCCCGGAGGCGTGGAAGCCGATGGTCGCTTTCTGGACTGGGAAGATGCCTCCTCCTCCTCCTCCTTCGTCTTGCTCTTTCTATTCTTATCATTCTTGCCATTGCTACGAGGTATGCTTCTGCTTCGGGCTTTCTGCTGTTGTTACCATTAGTATCAGTACGATTGTTGCTGTTATTGCTGCTACTTCCGTTGCTGTGGCTGTGATGATGTTGAACATATTCTATTGTTTATGATGGTTATGATAATGGCTGTTGTGATCAAAATTCCATCTGCTGTAAGGCTCTGCGGCTTGAGGTGACTACCAAGGCTGCAATCCCCAATGGCTTTAGATGTCGGGATACGGGCCTCGAGGGGCCTAAGCTGGTAGTAGAGTAGGTATCCTTTAACATTCTTGGGGAGTCTAGAATCCCTATATCAACCCAAAGGTTAACCTTTCGTTCCCCGAGGATACTCGACGAGTAACTTTTAGCACTTTCCGGGTTCGGGCTTGAAGGGTTCCTTAAACCCGATAAACCAAACCCTTAAACCTAGTTCCGAGCAGAAACCCGTGAGGACCTGACAGTGGAGCCCGACTCGAAGTGGCGGCTGAAACCCCTCTTAGCAGAGGTGCCTTGGGATCATGATTGGGCTTGTGGGTTTGGGAGATCATGTTGAAACTTGTGCGGAGGTGATGGTCTTGTCGAGGATAATGATGACAAGAATGATGGGGATGGAGGCGGTGACAATGATTCTCATGGCGGTTCATGATAGTCATGATGCATCCAAGACCTTTTTGAATTTGTTTGTACCTGTATACATGTCCGACTGGCTGCAGCTCAATGCTTAAGGGTGACGAGCAGTTGAAGCACAGTCTCTCAACAAGATACGCAAGGGTGGATTTGCAGACCATTGCAGCCAGTCCGCATCATCTGTAGCTCTGTAGCCAAGCAGAGGCATGTCGGCTACAGACAAGCAGAAGACCAAGAAGAACAAGATCGGTGCGTCGGCCGACGGTTCAAAGAAAGCCACCAACAAAATCGGTCAAGCGTTCGCGGAGGATCCAGAAATCGGCCCGAGCGGCGAGCCTTGTGAGCCCGCCGAGCCCTCAACCCAGCCTCTCGAGTCCTGCAGCTCAAGTACGTCGGAGCAGATTCACGAGGAGTTCACCAGACCCGAGCACCCTGACGAGGAGTTTGCGGCGACCGAGGCCGCGGAAAGCCATCAACCTCCGTGGGTGGGAGACGTGCCGGAGGACAGCTCTGGCCAAGCACCGATCCAAGAGGATGCGAGGCCAAATGAAAGCGAAGAGCAGCCAGGAAGACCTTCCGTCCAAGAGACGAAGGCAGAGTGGAAGCGCGACAGGTGGACTCCCCAGGACAGGGTTCTAGAGCTGTGAGCACTTTCCCGGGGAGGTGAGGGGGACCGCTTTCCAAGTTTACGATTAGTTATGTTTCTCCGGGTTTTGGGGGAAGAGCTAGGGCCAGCACGAGCTTGTCTTTCATTTGACGCATCGTGGAGTCGCCAGGGTCCTGACACTCCTTGGTGGCTAAGGCTAACGCTTGCAGGCCTAAAGTTCAAGCGACACTCGTTGGTGGGGGGAAAAGAGCTCAAGTTTGCCATGGGACTTGCAGGATGCCTAGAAGGCTAAGCGGCTTCCGGCCCATGTCGTTTAATTTCGAAGAAGGTCAGCCCCCAGCTCTCAGTTTCTGTGCTGCTACGTCGAGCCACAACTTGAGCCGTTTTTTGCCAGTTGTCCAATTTTCATCTTTTTGGAGCCCGACGGTTGCTTGCTGAGGGTTGTGGTCCTGTCCTGGATGTCCCGAGCACAAATTTTGAGCTTGCGCCCCTTCTGTCGGTTCAGCTTTCGGCATACAAGCATTAGCAACTTATCCTCTATAGGTTACGAACCAAGCGAGCGCCAACACCCTGGCGACTCCACGATCGCCAGCCACGCCGAAATGCAACTGAAATGTATGCAAACCGCAACGAAAGGCACTTGACACGCATCAGGAACGCGGAGAAGCCTGAAATGCATTTCAAACGCACCTCAGATCCGTTGCGCAAGTCGGCGGTGAAGGAATCATCATCTGTCACATAAGCTCATGCTGGCCTGGGATGGCATGTAGTTCAAGATCGTGTTGTATAGAATGTCACCAAATCGGCAGGCGGGAATTCGTTAAAACACAACACGACTCATACTGTATCTTCAACACAGCCACTGCTTCCTTCCGATTCCGACCAGGATGCGAGGGGTGTGCAACGGCTAGCCTGCTAAATGATGTTTGCGGAATCTTTGGTTCATAGAAGCTCAACCCTGCAGGAGTGGCAGCAGTGGTATGGTCAGAAGCAGTACCCCAAGCAGCAGAGGGAGTGGCACAGACCTCAGCAAGATGTGAACCGGAGCTGGATAAACTACGTCCAAGTCTCGGCTGACGGGCTTTTGAGCATTCGGTTGGCAAAGATGGGACTTGATGAACGTTCAATGCAAAGCTTTTGCTCATGGTTTCCCACAGAGCTACGTCGCTTGAAAGAGGCGAAGGTTCGAAAGCTCTATGTGTCCAGCGACGACATCGTGCTGGCCCATGAGGTGGACATTTCTCAGAATGACCTGAGCGATGAAGCCATGAGGATCCTGCTCCTCACTTTGAGGCAGGCCAGGGTCGTCATTGGGGCCGCCAAGTTCTATCGAAACAAGTTCAGCTGCCGCAGTGCACAGCTTCTGGCACAATGGATCCGATCCGCACCATGGGCGATCTTCGAGTTGCACCTCTCGCACAATCAAATCAAAACCGCCGGTGCGCTCGAGCTCATCAGGGCAGTGGCAGAGAACAGGAGCTATCCCTCTGCGCGGCCAGGCAGCAAGAACTGGCCTCTGCCACTGTGGCTGCGATTGGAAGCCAACAACATCACCGAGGTGGACGGCTTTGAACAGCAGGCCGACAGCTGCCTCCAGACCGCTCGACCGGAAGCTCGAGGCAAACTGATCTGTTGGTGGGAACACAGGAATCGATGTGGGTGCAGAAGTGATAGTTGTGGCTATTCCACGAAACATCACTGCCCAGTGCTCCACATTCCGCGCTTGCACCAGCCGGAGACAAGGAAGGAGGACGACAGCATGCACAGAAAGCCTCAAGATGGGACAACGGGTCAGCGGCATGTTTCATGTGCGGGGGATTTTCGCATGCTGCCTTCAGAAGACTGGTGCAAGATCCATTCGTCTTTCGCAGAAGCCGGACCGAGCAGAGCAACAGCGTCGGCCCAGCTGGCACTCGAGGACAGGACTGAGGAATGAGCTTCGGTTCATCTCTGGCGAATTTCAGTGTAGAGAGGCTCGGCACATGATCTGAGCCTGGTGCCTTGTGTTAGGGACCATGACGTCGGCATTGTACAGGAACTGTTCGTCGTAAGCCTCGCCGTCAAAGTGCAAAATCTGCATGTGGATGTGACGAGAGATGGTAGCCGGCCATTCGGAGCATCCGGGTTTCCGGTTTAGGGTGGGGTGTTTCAACCTTCTGGTTTCTTCCCTGTTGGTTCCATCTGGAATCTGGAACTCTCCATGGTCCTGCTCCCAGTTCCTGCAGCTCTTAGCTTTACGGAAAGCGCAGGAGGGAGACGAGATCTCCAGCAGACCCTAAAGCCCCTTTCCGTCACTCCAATCGCTCACCTGGGAGCTGTACTACGTGTTTATACGATCTCAAACTCAACATCTCAGGTTCAAAGCGCACCGATGCAAGCCCTCAAACTCAAAACACATGGCCGATGCGGAGTCTCACGCCCACAGCGCACTGAACCATTAAACAAATGTCGCAAAGGCGGCAAAGCAAGAACCCGAAATCCAAACAAAAAGCTTGACATGGGTTCCCAACCACGAAGCTTAGGCCAATTGGGACCCTTGGCCTACTGCGACGGAGTGGGCCGTCGCGGAGCTCGAGCTTTTTGATCCTCTGCCTCAAAAGGGAGTCTGTCTAGGACTTTTATTTAGGATTTAGGGTTAAGGGTTAAGTGATGTTGAGCTTTTCGAGTGCTTAGGGGGGAGAGAGAGAGAGAGAGAGAGAGAGAGAGAGCGCAAGACCGAGAGAGAGAGGGTTAGGGGTTTCGGGTTTCGAGCGAGGCTTTCGGGTTTCGGGTTGCGGCATTAGGCATGTTCTAGAACAAGGACCAAGAAGGGTGGCATAAAGGAATTCGAGTCAACATGGAATCGGGTTATATATACGGGCTTCGAAGAGGTTCGTGATTCGAGGCGTACGGTTGAGGGGTTCAGTTTCGGACGTGCAGGGCTTTTCTGGTTCATGTTTCGGATGTCAGAGCCTGCGATCTTGCGTGGAGCGTGTTGGGAGTTCAGGCTGTCACGGCCTGGATGTTTGTTTACAGGCTACTGTAGGTTTTAAGTGGTTTAAGAGTTGAGGGCTGGGAGATTTCGGGTTTGTGGGTTTTAGGATGTTTTAGCAGGGTTTGGGATATCGAAGCTTCAGTGTTTAAGCAGAGCTCTCGTGCCCAGATGGGCCGAGTTTAAAAGGCTTTCTGTCCTATTTTCCAGGCGGGGCTTGGGCCGTTTCTGTGGTGATGAGGGGCTTGTGCACGGAAGAACAGCCCAACCGCAGCTCAGAATTTTGGCTATATGTCTTTGCATACCCTTCCTTCTCAAACTTTACACAGACTTATAGAACCCTTTTGAAACCTCTTGTAGGACCCTATCTTACAGAAGCCGTATAAAAGCCTTAAGCTGGAGGTTCAGGCTCAGTGAAACGAGACCCGGCCAGCGTTTCCGGCCACTTTCCGGCTCCGAGCCTGATCCCAAACCCCCTCAACCCTATACCCTATATAATCTAGGGGCTTAAATTTTTGGGGGCTTCTTTAGAGGGTACCTTCAAGGGGCTCTACAAGGGTCTATAGTAGAGTTTTGGGGGTTCCTTATTACCGTTATAGCATAATGGAGCCCAAGAAACCAATATTTTAATTGTTAAGGCACTTTTTATTATACCCAAACCTGAACCGAAAGCCTAAGTATTCAAAAAGATGAAGCAAACTTTTAGCCTTTTGAACTGTGGGAGTTTCCGAGAACTGGGGTACCTTTTTTGGGCTCCTTATAATGGGGACCCTAGCATTTAGGGTACTATATTAGGGTCCCCTGTTTTCGGAAACTCCCATGTGGATGACGGTTCAGAGTCTCGTGCATAAGACTTCGCCCCGAAACTGCTCATATCAGGCATCAACTCTTCATTCGACCAACTGTGCAGGGAAAGCCCCTAAACCCTAAACCCCAAACCCGAAACCCTAAACCCTAAACCCTACACCCCTAAAACCTAAAGCCTGCACTACAAATCCGTAAAATGGTTCCAAAACCTGGCGATGTGAGAGCCAAAATCTTTGAGACTTAAAACCATTTTTCAAATCTACGCCTAGACACCGAAAAACCGCTGAACTGCGTAAAACTTGCAGAACCCCCGTCTTCCATCAGTGCCAGAACCGTATTAGCGGTATTTCTCTTTACAAAGCCTCGCCTTAAATCCCCCAAGCCCTTACCCCTCAAAAAGAAACTTCAAACCCTAAAGCATACTTTTCTTCCGCCCCAACATCTAAACCCAAAACCCTAAGCCCTTGGCCCCAGCCATGCAGGAGGCAAAGAAAAGCCCCAAACCCCAAACCCGAAACCCCAACCCCGAGGACAACGTGGAGTGTCGGGACCCCCCGTTGGTCGCCCGCTTCAGCGGCTCCGGATTCGTAGGAGCCATCGTTCCCATTTAGGGCCTTGCAGACCTTAGGGTTCCTTTAAGGGTTTCTATTACACCCTAAACCCTGAAGTTCTGCAATGGTTCAAAAGCAGCGTTCTGTACGACTGAGAGCTGAGGGTTTAGTTGTAGAGGTTTGGTGAGGGTGCTAAGGTGGCTCTATGAGGGTGCGTGGGTCACTCGTTTGTTGTTATGAGCTTAGGGTTAAGGGGTTGAAAGAGGTTTAAACTTTCGTCTAGGGTTTGGCGTGGGTTTAGGGTTCAAGGCGCGAGTTGAAGGCTTAGGGGCATTGAAAAATTGAGTTAGAGGTACAAAGGTTTCTTGGGAAGTTATCAGACTTTATAAGAGTTCTTGCAGGGACAGGGAGTTGGAATTGCTTTCAGAGCTTTTTTAAGACGCGCGGCACCTGATACTAAAGGTCATAGGTCATAGATGATCATCGTATGCAGGGTTCATGTTAGGCTTTGCACCCTTAACTTAGTTAATGGCTGCCCACTTGCCCACAAGCGCAGCCATCGAGATCCCGAGCCCGAGTCATCTTATGTATGGTGGAAGGGGGGGTTTGGATTCTTCAGAATCGTAAGACTTATCAACACGGAAGGAGATGGCGTGACGGCTTCCGATGCCGCCTTCGTCCCTGGCCGTGCCCAGGACGGCTTCGAATCTTCAGCCCCTACCCCCGCCAAGCCTGAAGCCCTCGAGCTTCGTCCGCGAAATTAGCACACTGGGTCACGAGCAGAAGGAGCAGGGATCTTCAAACCCCCTCTCCGAAGCTTTATTTTCTGACGTTTAGCTTAGCATGTCAAGAGGTGCTCAAATCTTTCCTTATGGAGTCACCCAAAACAGAGACCACCCAAGTCATTGCAAGAAAGCGAGCCGGGGTTTGAGCGTTTTCGGTTGATGGGCCTTTCCAGTCTTCTCTTTGCCGCTGGCAGAGAGGATGGAGATCTTGCCACTGTGTGGGCCGCTCCCTGCCCTTCCGGTGCGGCACGGAGGGGGTTCGTTCGGGAAGTTCACGTAGAACTGTGAGCAGTCTCCGACACACTAACCACAACAGTACAAAGAAAGCACTACCAAACCGGCGGGAAGTACCATACCTGGAGCACCAGCACGCACATCCACACCCTGATACGGTAGCTGTAGGAGGAGGGGCTGACGAGGATTTAAGGGTCTGGGGCTTAAAGTCTTAAAGATCCTTGACATGTGCCAAGCTTGGCAGGTCATTAAACCGTAGGCTTGAGGGTTCGATTTAACTGTTTTTTCATGCGGTTTGATCTTGATCCGCTTTGTAGCAGTCTGGGCCAGTCGCCGTTTGCGAGTGCGAGAGTCGAAGCCCGGAGATCCCAAAGCCTGAAGCCGCAAACCCGAAATCCCCAGGGCTGGGGTTTACTTACCTTTGGTTAGCAGGGAATGGAAGAATGGGGTACAATTACAACTACTATTCCTCCAATTCTTCCATTCCCTACCAACCAAAGGTAAGTTTAGGAAACCGCTAAACGAGGGTTGTGCGTTTGCTAGTCAGTCCTCTGCCCCAAGTGGGCTTTACATACCGGCAGGCAGAAAAGAGACGCCTAAACCCTGAACCCCTGAACTCCAAACCCAAGACGAGGAAACCCTGAACCCTAGGGTTTAGAGAACTAGAAAACCCCCTAAACCGCCTACCTAAATCCAACCCCTTCCGCAAGTAGTACACTTCTGGGAGCTTCCGAAAATGGGGGACCCCAACATAGTACCCTAAATAGTACGATCCTGATTTTTTAAGGACCCCAATCTAAGGTACCCCTATTTTCGGAAACTCCCCTCTCGGTTTCTGAGGCGTAGCCTGCGGTGCCGAGGGAGCCTGGCTCGAGGCACAGTGCCTTGGCAGCCGAGAGGAGGGTTTCACGGTAGAGCTTTTCTCCTTTTGGGTTTTTGGGAGGTGAGAGCTTGGGGCTACGGTAGACAGTAATAATGTCCCTATATAGTCCTATATAGCTATCCAGCTATAGAGTAATATGCCCCCCAACCCTACTTCTTTGGGTGCAGGGTAGCTTTTAGTTTTCCTTCATGATTTTTGGAAAGTGTCGCCCCGGTCTCGGGCGAAAGATCTCGGACAGGGGAAATAAAGAATGGGGTGAGACAAAGCCAATGCAGCGGTACATGTCGCTAACTGTCATGTGTCAAGAGAGCGAAATGAGATACCAATAGCACTTGCAGTGACAAGAGTTCTCCGCTCACAGCCGGCACGAGCTAAACCCTTCGCCCCTAAACCTTAACCTGTAATTGCGAAAGACATGTATGTATGTATAGGTATATATGTACACACACATATATAAGAAATATATATACATACATATGTACATATAGATCAACAAACCTGTTTGCATACCTGCATACATACAGATATGAATCAATGAATGCATCTCTTTCGATACTTGCGTGTGCATATGTTTGTATGTATGTACGTACGTACGCAGTTATGTATGTACGTACGTACGTCGCACGTAGGTAGGTGTTTATGTACGTATGCAGTATACATACACACAGTTTTATGAACATACATACATACATGCATACACGCATACGTACATGCATACATGTATATATATATATACACATGTATATCAGTCGTTCCTTATTTCGTTTGCTACTGGGCAAGCTCGGCCTCCCAGAGCCCCCATCCCAGGCTCCGTGTGCCCAGCATAGTGCGCTGCTTGAGGCGGGCTGGGCACGAGGATGTTTGCTGCCCTTGTTCTTGCTTATGTTCTTCTGATCATGTTTCGTTCCGCCGTACTTGTGGTGAGAACCGTCTCTCTTTGTGTGTGTTTGTTTTTGTATCTCTCTCTCTCTCTGTCTCTCTCTTCTTTCTCTCTCTCTCTCACCCAGGTTTTGCACATGTGTAGATGTTTCTCTTCGTATCCGTGCATACGCTTTATCTATCATCAAAGCTTTTGGTAAAACCAGAAGTCGTCGTAGTAAGCCGTAAGGAGCCACGGCGTGGATTCAGAGTCCTCGAGTTTGAAGCTCGCTTTTCTTCCTCAATGATCAGGCTTTTGGGGGGTCTTGGGATTTAGGGCCCCAGCCTCGGCGGTTGAAATTGTGGAGGGTTGGGCTTGGAGTCCGAGGTAGAAGTTTTGGGGTTTTGAGGTTTATATCTAGGGCGGCCTTTCATGGTTGTTGTGAGCCTTCTTGGGGGGAAGGCTCTTCCAATCCACAGCCTGGCCCTCCGCGGTGATCTCGCTTGAATCGGGAAGTGGGACGGTCTACACCAACGTCAGCCCCTTGTCTTGCAGTTAGATTCTATGTCAATCCCAAAGCATACCCTGGCCCTAAGCCCTCAAGCCTAAACTCGAAACCCAAAGCCCTACACTACTGACCGAAGGGCTTCCCAAGAAGCACGAAGCAGCAGGGCTCACAGTGCTGTAGTGGCAGTGGCGGGGATTTCCGTGAGGAGCGGGAAGTTGGTCGGCAGAGTTAGGGGTTACTAGATTGGGCTAAGGGGGTTGGCATAAGGTTATGCTAAGGTTACAGTAAGTTCTGGGCCTCCCTCACGCAATGGATGTATCCTACCAAAAAGCACTTACGTACGGTACAGGGGACGAGGACAATCCCAAGAAGCAAGCTTTCGCAACGAGTAGGGCGTTAGCTGAGCAACGGGAAAGTCGGAAATCCTAAACCGAACCCAAGGCCCGATAGCTTTGATCTTTGCAGAGGCTATCAAGTCCCACAGCTGAGGTATCCCTGCAACTAACCAGAATAGCCCCAAAGGCTACGACCGAGACCCTAGAATCCCTGGCAGCCCAAGCCCTAACCCTCAAGCCCCAAAGCCAAATGTCCCAGACTCATCATCACAACCACTACACCGTTTTGCAGAATCCATGCAGAACCCGCGTAGAACAAAGCCTTGAGGTCGCTTCTCCCAGCTGTCAGGGGGTTCCTGGGAGCACTTAGCCCGGTGGGAGGCCGCCAGCCTCGGTCTGTGTGTTTCCAGGGCGTGGGGCCTAGGGTTTTAGCCCAGTAGTAGAGTAGGTAACCTTTAACCTTTTTTGGGTAGTATAGTCCCTGTACAATCTCTCTATAACCAAAAAGGTTAACCTTTAGTTCCCCATGATACCCGACAAGTAGGTTAGGGCTAAGACATCTGAGGCTCAGGGTTGAGGATTTTGAGAAGCTTGTTTCGATCTTTGGGAAGCGGATGATAGGTCTGGCTCACTGGAGTTCTGGCGGTTGAAAAGCTCGGGGTGCAGTTCGTGGAGTTGATCTTTCTTTTCTGCAATTTCGGGATTTGATCTTTTCTTTTCTGACATTTTGGGCTTGGGCTTGCTGTCTAGCCTCCGAGCCAGTGTTTTTTTCAGCGGTCCAAAATTTTCAGGTTGAGGATATCGTGATGGGTTTGGAGGGTTTGGGGGTTTCGGGCGTTAGTATTAGGATTGTTGCAAACCCAGCGCCTCAAGAAAAGTCCACAGATTTATTAGCGGAGCTCACAAGCGAATTACCAAACCCTAAGTCAGCAAAAACACCAAATCTTTGCATCTACACTCAACATCTTGTTTAGGGTTTCGGGTTTAGGGTTTAGGGTTGTTCCCTGGCGTGACGTTGCAAGCCAGTTGCAAAAGGGTTGGAACAACATCCGGCGCCCTGAACGGCCACACCCCAAAATCCTGAAGTCTTGACAGGTGGCCAACAAAGCCTTGGGCAGTATGTGGCGGCTGGTGCCGACAGGACCTTCCGCATTTCTCGAGGAAACTGCCAACATTTCCACAGAACGCTTAGGATTGAGCGGTTTCGGAGTTTTGGATTCTGTAGGGCCAGTAGGGGTTTGGGGTATGTAGCAAAAATGGCTCTGCAAAAGAAGCCTCTGCAGAAGCAGCGGAGTTTTGGGTAGGGTTCGGGATTGCGCGTGTCAAAACGGGGGATCCCCTTTTGGGGGCTTCTGATGAGCTTAGGTGATTTTGGGGACCCCACGAGAGAGATTCAGAAAAGTTTTGGCACAGGAAGTACGTCTTGGAGTTCAGGGTGCCATTCATCTGCGGGAGGGGCGCCGAGGTTGGGCTTAGGGGGACGAAGAGGCTGTGTTTTCCCGTTTGAGGTCTTCGACCCTCCTGCTACGTTGGAGAAACTGCTTTACGGGTGTCCTGACGCAACAACGCCTGAACCAAAGACGCCAGACCATATAGAAGTGTGAACAGTCTCCTCGAATCGTCCTTATCTAACTGTCGAACTCCCTAAACCCGCAACCCTAAACCGTATCTACGTCCAGCACTCCGGGATGGAAGCTCCTGAACCCTCTGTTACCACTTCTGAGAAGCCGTCCAGTGAGCATGGAGCTGATCAGACATGATGTGACACTGCAGGGATGTGTTTGAGGTCGTGGGGTGAGAGTGTTGTGTTGGGATGTGCCGCTCAGCGGCATGCTGAAGGATTTTGTTTTCTGAGTGCAAGCCACGATGTGGCAGGCTGCAGGAGAAAAGGCCGATGCACTTTAAACGAACCCCATCTAACTGTCTAACTATGAAGCGTTCATGAGCCCTGCCAGGAGTCGCGCCGGAGGCTTGGCGGATCGTCCAGATCGAGCTCTTCTCAGCAGAAAACTGTGCCTCGGATGGGTTTCTCATCGGGCCCTCAGCTTACCTTTGGTTAGTAGGGAATGGAAGAATGGAAGTAACAGTGGTTATATTTGTAACCCATTCCTCCATTCTGACTACTAGCCAAAGGTAAGTTAGGGTCGCTGATGCCACCGTTTGCAGCTCCTAGCACCGAACCCCAAGTGGAAAGCAACCCACCCAAAATCCTGAACCCTGAACCCTCAACCCCGAACCCCGAACAGGTGGGAACAAAACCCTGAATCCAGAGACTCCAATATACCTTAATTACGGAATATGCCCTAAATCATCGTAGACCCTTATAGATCCCTTACAGGGACTCTAGGCATTCCTTAACTGAGGGATCTTGGAGTCTCTGGGAACCCTGAGGCTCCTCCCCGCTGGCCTTCCAGACCTTCGCCTCGGGTGGCTTCGGTATGGCCCTGGCGGGCGATGGGGATCTCGCCAGCGCGTGGCAGGAGCAGGGTTTAGCGTTTGGGGTCTTGGGCTTATGGGGGCATTTCAGAGAGACGTTCCAAAAAGGGTTTTGGGATCAGGGTTTAGGGGGAGCGATTCGGTTTCAACGTATAGGTTCTCACCATATAGGGATATACAGAGTCGCGAGAAGAGTACCATTAGTAGGAGGATTTGGTGTTGTTGTATATAGGTTTAGCATACAGGGTCACTACAAGGGTACTACTGGTACTGTAGGGTTTGCTTTCAGGTTGCTGCTGAGGGCCATTTTGGGGAGAGTGCAAGGTTGCTATGACGTTACTTCACAGTTCCAGGTTTCGGGTTGGTTCAGAATCCTGGGTTTCAAAGCGATCGAGACGGGGCTCCGGCGGGAGGCAGAAGAGCAAGAATGTCTCCTGTACTATAGGAGCCTAAATCATGACCTATACTATTTCGGGGGTTCCTTTTTATGATCATTGTATAATGGGCCCCAACCCTATTCTTTTCATTAAGGCCCCTACAGTACGCTTTGAGCGACAATCCCCAGAGAGGGCGCCAAAGCGCGCAGCACCGCGCGCATGGCCCTAGCAAAAAAACAGTACGCCTTGGCACCTGTTTCGAGTTCGGAGTGCTGTACCATCACGACAAAGAAGATGGGAACGAAGGAACGAGGGCGAGGGCAGGAACTAAATTAGAACAGGAAAGCCACGAGTTGTACACTGTCAGACTACCGGTATAGTTTGCTGATGCAGAATTCCCGCAGTCAAGGTTGGAGGAGCCTTTACCTATAGCTCTCAACTCCCGCCCGAAACTCGGCTGAGGCCAGTAAACCCGAAGCTCTGGTCCTCAGAGGCCTGAAGACTTAAAGCCTTAAAGCCCACAGAGTCTGAGCAGGCTAAAACAGTCGCCCGAAGTATACAGCCGGCCACAGTCGTACCGAAGACTTTTCGGCCACAGGCATCTTGAACGTAATTTGCTTAATGGTGTTGTTCTTGTGGGCACCAGCTATGTTTTCACTGCAATAAGGAAAGAAGGGTCATGCAACCCACATGCAAGCTTCTTAGTATGCATTCGAAAGTGTGTTTTCTTCACTCACGTTCTGACCCTTAAACCTCGAGGAAAAAAGTTTCGCCTGAACCCGGAACCCTAAATCCTATGCCTTGTCATCCAACTCCTTTACCCTAAACCCTAAACCCAAACAGGATCAGGCCAAAAAGGAGCTCAAAAACACAGAAAGCAACCCACGAAGAGACTCGCAGGCCGCGACTTTGGTAGCCTCCGGGACCTGGCTGGGGCGCTACGAGGGCACGGAGACCTTGCACAGGTGGCTTCGACTTCATGGGGTCAGGGATTGGGATGGTAGAATTCAGGCTTCGAATGCCTGGGAGGGAGAGAATCCGTTCTTCTGGGGGTTTAGGTTAGTTTAGGGTTTGGGTTCAGGGAGGGTTCAGTCGGGAATTCCGTTATCATGTTTACAAGGAGCACTACACACATGAATGCCTGCATCCATCTATCCATCCATCCATCCATCCATCCATCCATACGTACATGAGAACAACCATGCATGCACGCATACAGTACATATGCACATTCATTTTCCCTTCCCGTCACTTTACCTCCTTCCCTCCTTCCCTCCCTCCCTCCCCCCCCTTCCATTCATTCATTTATTCATTCATACACTCGCTTGCGCAATCATGCCTGCAGGCAGACCTATACAAAAAATCCCATGCATGCATGCACATATTCACTACACGCATGTGTGTGGTACGGCATGGCATGGCGTGGCATGGTATGGTACGGTATGTATGTATGAGTGCAGCAGAAGCCTTGTAAGGCTGGCGTGGCCTTGGCTGGGGCTCAGCACGGCGGACGGCGTTATGCCCCTATGCCTGCGACTGCTCCAGGTCCGATTCCACCGTGTCGGGTTATTACTATCTTTGCGGTTTAGGGTTTAAACAGATGGTTGCAGGTCGTAGACTGGCTAGACTTGGGTCCAGTGGCAAAACAATGTTGTGTTATCTTGCAAATTTAGGGCTGCAGGTTTATAGTCAGTGGAATCAGAGATCCCACCGCAATCTCGAACTCTGACTCTAGACTGTCCGTACATCATCTTTTCTGGTTTTCTTCAGGCGAACGAGAGTCTCCACTTTGCCAACGACCTCGTCCTTCAACGTTGGAGCGGTTCCGCTTGGCTCGACTATCAGGCGCTCCGGCCCTTTCGGGGAATTCAGGGTTCAGGGATTGTAGGATTCAGGGCTTCCGGGGATTTAGGCTTCTGGGGTTTTAGGGTTTTAGCGGTTTAGGGGTTTTAGGGTTTTAATTGCTGTAAGAGTTCAGAGTTTCGTGGTTCAGGGTTAAATTTGGGATAACCGGGGCTTGCGGGACTAGGACAACATGCGTGCTCGGCTTTCATCCAGTCAGAAGCACTACGTCTCTGGAAGGACCGCGTAAAGTGGTCAGGGCTCATCGGAAGGCTAGGCGGCTAGGCGCTTGCCGTTAGCCTTCAACATGTCCACCGTCGCTGAGGCCTCAACCCAAGCTGCTTCACGCAACAGTGAAGGGCCATAACCCTAAAACCCCAAACAGTGTAGTCCCTAAACCCCGTAAGCTTTGACCCTGAAGCCTCAGACACTGCCAACCTCGCGGCAAGGCCTGAACACTGAAACCTTGAAACCCTGCTTATATAGAGGTCGAATATGCTAATGTCGGAACCTCATTAAGAAGCCCTGGCCGTGCTAGTATAACCCCCAAATAGTAGGGTGCATACAGAGAACCCCAATAAAGACCCAGGGTTTCTTAATCAGGTTCCTATACTGGCTGGGAATCGAAGTCTCCAACCTGCAACAGGTGTCTTTGAGCGGCATCGGCACGATTGCGCCGCACTTTACAGAACTGGGTGTAGGCAGGCACCTGCATCGGGTCTTCAGGGTTATCCCGAGCCGAAATCGGTATCAACACATGGTGCTTTCGGGACTTTTCTTTAGTTTCGATGTTCAATGACTGAGTTCTCTTTGAGTTATCATCGGTTTCAGGTTCAGATCTTCAAACTTTGGCTTTGAAACCCTTGAACTTTTTGGGCTCCACCTGTTGGGCGGCAGCTTTCACGTTTTTCCACGTCGTGCCTTTGCGGCTCAGGGTTTAATGTCGGCACATCCAAGGCTTAATATAGGGGCCTTAATAATTACCTATTCTATTTTGGGGGTTCCTTGTTGTAATCATAGTATACTGAGCCTCACAACCCGATTCTAATCATGAAGGCGCCTACATTAAAGCCTTACAGCGTAAGCCCAAGTCCTGAACCACCGGCGGCTTACTTGGAGGTGGCCAGGAGCCCGGAGCCTTCAACCCTTAACCCCCTAAAACGCCCACAAGCTGTTCCTTTCGAACCCTTGAACCCTGAACCCTACACCCTAAACTCCAGACCCAGTCATTTCAGCTGTTGGCAGATTGTTATAGTGGCTTTGACACCTCCTCGTAGAGACGTCTCACTTTGTATGACTCCGAACCACATGCCTCGCCTGGATTGTCCGAGTGTGAGCGCCGAAACTCCAGACCCGCAAACTGTGTAGTTTAGGCACCATGGAAAACTCAAACCCAGCCCTGGTGCCTCGAGGCCCCAGGATTTAAATTCTACTCCTCTAATCCCCGACCCCATAGCCATAGCATCCCTCTGAAACCCTTGAAGAAGCCCTGAAAGGATCCCTGGCGCCACATAAAGACCTGGATATCTGCCCCTTTGTTCAAGGCTTGAGCTATCTCCCCGAGACCTGGGCGCGGATGCCCTTCCTCGATCGCTTGCAGTGGCGGGTGCAAGCGCGTGGTGCTCGGCCGACGTTTCCTTGGGTGAAGCAGTTACTGTAGGTTGCCTATACGGGCTGCGATACGAGTCACAAGGGTTTAGGGGTGGGATAGGGTCGGGAGTTCAGGGTTTTGGGGCTTAATTAAGATGGTTTAGGATGAGAATTTCTCGGTTTGATCTTTTAGGGGTACCCGGCAGTGCGAACAGGCCTGGATGCAAAAGGATGGTTTAGGATGGTTTTGGGGTGTTGTTAGGGTTGAGGGTTCAGGCGGGCTTAGCAGGAGCTGCGAGTCGCGAGCTTCAGCAAGCAGAAGCTTCATTTCTGCATACGCAGACTAGGAAAGGCACAGAAACCGTGTCTCAATCATCTGAGACTTGTCGGTGGTCCTACCGTTTTGGTCTCGTGATGTCTCGCGTGAATCGCGCCACGGACGGAAGATCCTAAATGTCAAGTTGTCGCTGATTCCACCGTTTGACTATGCATGACCCGTGGGCCTTCTGTATCTTCCTTCCAAAACTACATGAGTCTGGTTCTTAGTAGAGAATGGGGGAATGGATTATGGGGCCTACTAAGCACCAGGGAGATGAGTTGAACTCTGCAATTGCTCGAGCATGTTTTTGGTCATGGTAGTCAGCAAGGAAATGAGTCAGTCTCTCTACCAACCGCACCTTCCTGAGCTGAGGCACAATCACGTCAGAGCCCCAAGGACTTCACCAGTTTCAGCCCTCCGGCTCCACCCAGAGAGTCCTGCCAGAAGGCATAAAAATCATGCAAAACGTTCGGTGCCGCTGGAAGCACCAAAGAGACCTCCCACCCGCAGACAGAGTAGTCGCATGCTAAACTTGTTACAGTAGCCCCAACCTTTGGCCTTAAAACTTTCTACCTTAAACTCTGAGTCCCATTAAACAAACCCCGTGCGCAGCCTTTATGCCCGAAGGCTCGACGTGATGCTGAACTCTTGGGCTTTGAAGGACTTGCGCCACCAGGGGTCATAGTCTCGTCGGCCCCTGACCCTGCACCACAAATTCTACTAACTACAACTTCGACCCCTTTGGGGTGTTATTCGTGTGCAGATTTTCAGGCTATGGTGGCTATGTGTGCCTTGAGGTTCTGGGATTCGTGGTTTTCTGCCCGACTGCAGGGCACTTGAAATACTTAGGGCCATAGGGCTTCAGGCCTGCGTGAGGTCTCAGGTTGCAGGATTTGGAGAGCTTGTGATGAGTTTCGGGTCTGGGGTTCGTCGGCGCCTCGGTTTGCCAGGGCATAGCCCCAGTTGTAAAAGGGTTTAGAAGTTAAGCACGGCTATGCCACTGGCACTGCCACTGCTACCACCAGTATTGTATTACTAGTACTACTACTACTACGACGACGACGACGACTACTACTACTGCTACTACTGCTACTACTGCTACTACTGCTGCTACTACAAGCATCTCGGCTGAAGGCCACCCCAGGCCAAACCGTGAAGGTAGATTGGCCAGCCATTGGCAGCAGGCTGCCGAAGCACGCTCAGGCGCTGCCGTGTTCCAGGGAAAACCAAGATTTTCCGGCATTGCGTTTGAGGCTACTGCTACGACTTCTCGAATGTTTCCATTGCTGCTCCTGATAGCTGTATGGCGAACTGGCTGGACCCAGCAACTGAACCTGAATATTCTTGCGAATGCTCTGACACATGGATCCCGAACCATAACAAGATCACAGTGGACTTGGAGGCCACTTACGCCAGGGAGCTCTTTGCTAGGCCACGTCAGCGACTGCAATTTCTGTCGGCCATGGGCCAACTCATGCTTGAACGGGCCAGAGCACATGGAGGTTATATTGACAACCTCACCTTCTTTAATAGGTGGGACATGGAGTGGACTGCAAACTGCCACCCCGGACGGGCACTGCAAGCAGCCCGGCAATCACCTTTCCCTCCCGATGAGCGCGAACTATACATATGGGTACGACTGCACTTCCCCAGCTGGCTACCCAACTTCTGGCCTGAAGGTGAACCGCGGCCCACGACACTGGACCTTAACCAGATGGACCCCTGACCTGCCCTACAACACCCGTGGAGGGACCGTATGCCTGGGTAGATCAAGTAGAAGATGGCGCTTCCGCTTTGCCCCGGCGAGCCGCAGGCGCTACCGAAGACGCAGGGCTAAAGGGAGACTTCTCAGACTTCTCAGCCTTGGATACAGGACCTACCTGGCTGCACTGCATGGGCTCTGGACACATGTCAAGTGCCCCTTGCACATTCTTCTGCAAGTGACTGCAAGCTCTAGGAGACAGCACATGCACTTTCTGCAACTTGTGCGACATGTCTGGCAGTATGCAAGCTTGAGGGGAATGCTCCAGGGAAGCTCGGCTCACAGCTGGTTCGCTCTGCGAAAGGCTCGGTGCACGAGCCAGATCAACATGCCGAGCACAGGTAGGGCGGATGGCCAGAACCTCGACAGGGAGTCCATGGAAGCCTCGGAGGGCATAGAAGAGTCGGACGACATAGGGGACATCGACTCGGACGACATCACTGCCGAACATGGACCCCCGGAGGGAACGTCAGCCCCGCATACACCAGGTGGCACACCAGAGCCACGAGGACCGCCGCCACCACAGGCAGTACAAACGGTGCAACTCATTTCGCACCGGGCTGCGGGGGCTTTGGCACAGGCCTTTGCGGAGGACGGAGTCAACGTGGGCGAGATGCTGGTTCTAGTGCCTTTTCACTACAGGACCATGGGTGACATGCTGGTACGCATTGAGCCGCTGAGTGGAGACTTCCGACGACATCCCAATGTTCTCGTGGTCAACGAGGAGGATGAGGCCAATGATGACGAGCCGGGTGGAGGTCTCTCCACTGCAGCCCCCTCAACCACGACTTCCACTGCGATGCCTCTGACAACAAATCTGACCTCGGTTTCTGCAGCTACGACCTCAGCGGCACCTACAACGCCCCCTCTCCGGCCAACTTCCAAGGCGATCGCCAAGGCTCCATGGCGCAAAAAGCGGGCCAACACGGTGACTACGAATGAGATGACTCCCACGAACCGGAAGCTTGAGCCTCATTTGATCACCACCTGTCTTTGCATGTCTTATGCTTTCGAGTCAAGTAACCTGGAGTGCCCTTGCTCTCGCTTAGGCACCGTCGATCCGATAGACCTGAGTAGGACTTGTAAAAGCCCTCACCCCCTGATGGGAACAAGTCCCTGGTACCGGGTTGTGCCTGACATGCCTGATATACTGGCATCGACCGAGCATGTGGGCTTGCTGGATAAAAGACTGCTGCGCGAGACGGTGTACCAGCAGGGTGAAGCATACATGGTTTTATCACTGTCAGCTTTTACCACTTCGCTGGCCAGGTACCACAAGATGATCCTCACTGCACGGACGGCGGGTGACTTACAACACAGTGAGGTACATTGCTATCTCCTTTGGCCGATTTCAGTGTACACGCCTCAACTGGACAGGTACCACACCGGCAGCCAACAGCTTCAGCTCCGGCTCTCGTTGATTCTCTTGCTCTTGAACATGCAGGCAGCTCTCCTTTTGGTTAGCATTGTCAACCTCTATGATATGGATCCACAGAGACCCTCAATTGCAATCGAACATTCAGGCCCAGCAACTACTTCCACTACCTCACGGGGAACTTCGCTCAGCCGCACCGGTCCCAAGTCCGGTGGTGTTCACAGGCCAGGCAGCAGTCATCACAAAATTCTTCTGCTGATTCTCCTGGTTAGCGTCAGATCTACACTTTCTGTGAACACAGATGCGAGGGTTGACATCTCAGCTGGCGCGATGTCTGGAGTCGGTGGGCTCAACCTACCGGCGAAGCCAGTCAGCTCTCGGAGGGCTTTGCCGCCCGAAGCTGAGAGTACACTCTCGAGAAGTGGTAAGAGATCATATGCTAGGGCGTATGCCCGCTCTTGTAGAGAAGGTGGAGCTCATTTTCGCGGTCGCTGGCGTCCGCATACCTGGTTCCAGCCACGACATGTACCACCACAGCATGTGCCTAAGACCACGGCTAGCAGCCAACCAGGACCCGATTCTTGGAAGATTCTCACATGGAACTCAGGTGGCCTCACGGCACAAGTGTACCAAGAACTGCAGACCTATGTGCGCCTCCACCAGTACGACCTCGTACTGGTCCAGGAGACTAAATGGTCTTTTGATGCAAATTGGAGCACTCGTGATTTTCATTATGTGCATTGTCATGGAATCCAGAAAGAAGACCGAGCGACAGGACTGCTGGTGATGATTGCGGCAAAGCACGCCAAGGCCGATGACATCCAATTTAACATTGTGCATCCCGGTCGCATTCTCCACGTTAGGTTACCGGTCGGGCAAGTTCACTTGGACATCATCACTTGGTATCAATACTCCAGCAGCACTGCTGAAGGAGTCTACGAAAGGCGCCACCAACTGCTAGTGAAATTGCAGAAGTGCCTTCTTGCTTTGCCTCAACGAAATCCTTTGGTGTTCGCAGGGGACTTCAACTGCGGGATGATTCCGCATCAGGCCCTTTGTGGGCCTTGCGTTCTACCTGCCAACCCTCTCCAGTACAAAGACCTGCAGGATCATCAAGACGTTCTGCGAGCCCTGCCCGTGTGTATACTTAACACATGGACGCGCCCTAAGCATGGTCAGCTAGCCACTTTCACTTTTGGCTCTCTGGCATCTCAGATTGACTACATAGTGGTGCGACAAAGACAGGCTAATCGCGTTGCCAAGAAGGCTGCTATCCTTGACAAGTTTCCTGTAGCCCAATGGCGACAAGGCGGCAACCACCATCCTGTGGTGGCGTATGTGCCGGTGCCTCGAAGAATCCTTGCTCAAGCTCGGAAGACCCAGCCTGCTTTTGACAGGGATCGACTACTGCAAGACCTACGGCAACCAAAGGCGCCCACCTCCCTTGTTCAGCTCCGAGAGGATATACAAGAATCAATGCCTACACCGATCAGCCACCTCAATGATCTCCTGTTACAGGTTGCGGTCCGACATTACCCGGCCCCTCCACGACCCAGTCTTCCTCCGGATCAACCCCTCGAGCTGGCCAACTCTGCCAGGCACATGTGGGCAATTTTCCGTGAAATGCGGAAACAGAAATTTACCATGCAGGGCATTGCTACGGCATGGAAGCTATGGGTTCGCTTTCAGCGAGCACACAAAGCTCACAAGGACCGGTCGAGACAGCGAACTAAGCAGAAACGTGACGACCTCTTACAACAAGCTCAGGAGGCCGCTGACAAGGGGCACTACTCCGGCCTTTGGCGAATTGTCAAGCAGATGACGCCCAAGGTTCCGCGCAAACGTCTGCAGCTGCATCGAAATGGGCACATCATTAGCACGACCGAGGAAATGGATTGGATACTGCAGGCCTACGGTGATCGGTACGGAACCTCAGCTGTGGACGGAGGATGGCAGGGTCCGATTGGATCAGATATCTCGGACACCATTGATGCTTCGGAACTTCGAGATCAAATGCTCAGGATCCACCCTGGTAAGGCTGTCCCTCGCGGGAAGGCGGCGGCCATCCTCTGGAAGGCCTGTGCACAACAGATTGCCCCGACCGTGACCGAGGAAGTCAACCATGGCTGGAATCAGTATCCTTTGCCGCCTCAGGTGGACGAAGGATGGTCTGAGGCCACTGTCTCGCTACTCCCCAAGGCACATGGGAGGATGCAATCGCCCTTGGATCTTCGACCCATTGGGCTACAGGATCCTCTGGGCAAGTGCGTGATGACGCTACTTCTTCGACAGGCCCGTTCTGCAGCAGAGACTTTGATCAAACAATATCCTCAGACTGCATATGTGCAGGGGCGTGGCACCAGCACGGCACTCAGACGAGTGTTTGCTCACTGTGCTTTGGTGCGAGCTGAATGCGGAAATGATCGACTGAATCCACACCAACAACGAGCTGGAGAACAAAAGAAACAGTGCAGTGGAGGACTGCAGCTGAGCCTCGACATGTCTGCCGCTTTCGACCTAGTTC